ATGTCATGCTTTCTATTTTATTTTATTTTTTCACTGCAGTTACCTCAAGTTCACAACAAAAAGTTATTCTTTCCCCCAAACCATAGTTCCTAAACTCCTCAAAACCTCGTGTATGTTTTTTTTTTTTTTTTTGTACATACTACATCACACCTAAAACAGATTTAAATGAAGATATTATAGGTGAATTCATGCTGAATTGTTTAATCTGAAATTATTAATTCCATCATGCCATCATTTAAACAAAGATCTCACTTAATCCATTAGCATTCAGAGTCTGGCTCTCAAATACAATTAAACCAAATTTTAGCTTGGTATTTGTAAAATTAATCAAGTTTTAGCCATTTTTGTGTTTGCTGAAGTTTGCTGCGTCACTCATTTTGAATTAAGTTGACGTAAAAATTTAATGAGTTGTAGATGCATAACCATTGATTTATTTCTGAGAAATTCATTAAAATCTGTTCATGGGTTATTTTGCTAACAGACAAACAAACATGTACAAACAGCGGCAATCACATAACTGCTCAGATTTCATGGCAGTAGGCAATAGGAACTAACCATTAAGAATGTGAAGTTAACATATTTTCTTTTTGATTTAAGGAGATTTTATGCGGGCAGCACGGTGGCGCAACTGGTAGAGCTGCTGCCTCTCAGCGAACAGGTCCCTGGTTCAAACCCCGGTCCAGGGGCCTTTCTGGGTGGAGTTTGCATGTTCTCTCTGTGCATGCATGGGTTTTCTCCGGATACTCCAGTTTCCTCCCACAGACCAAAAACATGCATGTTAGACTGATTGGTAACTCTAAATTGTCCCTAGGTGTGAGTGAGAGAGTGAATGTTTGTTTGTCTCGTTTGTCTCTATGTGTCCCTGTGATGGACTTGCGACCCGTCCAGGGTGTACCCCGCCCCTCGCACAGTGATTGCTGGACATGGGCACCAGCGACCCCCGTGACCCAAAATGGAATAAACGGGTAAAGATAATGGATGGATGGATGGATAGATTTTATGCAATCAAGCGATCTAAAAGTGAAGTGCATGTTTCCAACTTAGCCATCCTGTGAACTCAAGAGAAATGACGTCTGTCCTCTAATCCACCCATCAACATATCGCTAATCCAAGTCTCATCACTTCTAAACAAAACCTTTTCTTATGAAGCCGCATTTACCTCATGATGTTTATTTTTGTTAAAGGGAATTATAATAGTATTCTTTCCAGTTTATTACACTCTGACAAAATATATGTAGACATTTTTGAAGCCAAACAATAAAATGCATTTTATCAGCCTGTTTGACCATGAGATCCTGTCAGCCGGAGAGTGGAAGAAGGAAAACTTTACAGGAATAAGAAGTCAGATGCCATTATTTATCATCTCAAACCTGACTTATTTATGAGGCAGAAACAGAATGAAATTCTCAGCTGAATTCGTGCTGAATTATTTAATCTGAAATGGTTAATTCCATACAAAGCCCAGGCAGTTCCCTCCTCTGTTCTGATAAATACTTTATCGCCGCTCCAAAATAAAAATGAAAAAACAACAGGAAAGAGGAGCGGGGCTATATGTGAAGTGTCTATTTCTTGTGCTTCGTTTTAGAACGTGTTACTTTAAATGTTTCGTGAGTGATCATTTTTAACAAAGCACAAAATGTTTGCCTCATTTTTTCTTGTTTTTTCAGTGATTTTTTTTTTTCTTCTGAAAGAAGAAGAGAAGAAGAGCTACAGGATGAAGACAGGATGATGTTTCAAACTGCTAGAGCTTCTTCAACACTTTTTTATGGTAGTGATGTGTGTGTGTGTGTGTGTGTGGGTGGGTGGGGGGGGTCTTCCTCCTGTCCAAGGTTGACAAAGTCACAAGGCTCCTAATGAAATGGGACGCATCGCTGATTGCAGCTATATCTGGAGCTGAGCTGGAAGTGGCATCGATTTAACAATTTAGCAGCACCCTCCTCTGTGTGTTTCCATTAGTCACGGCTGAATACCACCCACTTTCCCCCCCTTCACTCCCTACAAACACACACACAAACAATCTCTCACACACACACACACACATTTATATCTCCAAAGCCGCAGACGTATAATCTACTGCTCAACAGATTTATATCATCTAAAAAGACTCCACTGATGCTTCCACTGGATATCTGCTGTAACGGCAGAGAAAAGCCACCATGCTATAGAATACACAGTTTATTTTTGTGCGTCAGTGCGAGTGAACAACGGTGCCTTTTTTTTTTTTTTTTTTACATATGTGTAAACTGCACATTTGTTTGCTCTAAGACTGTGGACGTTCATCCAAGTAGGATCAACTGCTAAAACAGCGTCGTGCCGACTGTTTGCTAAACCCCCAACACTTTTCCAACTGTAGCTTAGCGAGCACAAGGATACAGCGAGGTTTGTCCAAACGGTGAGGCGTTATGAGCCTGCGTTAAGGGCGATGAAGAGTTTGGTGAAAGGAGCCTTTTTTTCAACCTGTACCAAAACAAAAATCTTGACTACATGGATTGTTGCTGCTGAGGTTTAGCACTGGAAATAAAATAAGTCTTTACTTTTCATATGGTGTGTTTTGTCAGAGAAACCCACAAGTTTGAAGGGAAGCTTTCTTTGTCAGTTGCCTTAAGCTCAAGAAGAGACTGTAGAAACTGTCGTTCCAGTCATCAGAATGGTTTATTGAGGTCCTCAAACTGGTTCCGCCAAGGCCCCGATGAAGCTCTGAGAAAACCATCTGAAGGCAGGGTAAGTAGTTTCTGCCTGACCTCCCATCACTCGGGTCACTTGTCTCTCAGTGCTTCCTCCGAAGACAGTTTGCCAGATGAATCAAACTCTGTTGGATCTGTCAGTACGAGATCTCAGCCTCCTGTCCTGAAGGCTCAACAAGTGTTGGTGAGGTTTGGTGGGAGCCACAGTGCGTCGATGACCAGTGACTCACAGCCCCAACTCAGTCTGTAGTGCGGCGCAATGTCCACATATAAGAACTAGATACAAAACTGGAATCTGAAAGTTGAGGCAATAAACCAGTAAACCCACAGTGGCTGTAGTACAATGTTTAAGCCCCAATCCTCATGTACATATACCTCTGAATTTAAGTTTAAACACACTTTAGATAATATTTTAGGCATTTGTTGATTCACAGAAAATGCTTTTCCACGGATGTGACTTTAATCAGTTTGCATCAACTCAGCATCGCCCAATTGAGTCTCCATTCCCTGTTCCTGCTTGGTTTTTGGACCCACCTCAGCCGTGGTTCCAAGCCAGCCGAGCTGAGCAAGTGATCCGACGTCAGCATTTGCAGCCATCGATTGGCTCCTAGACTGACGTCATTGCAAATTGCCAATGTTACCAACTTAGCAACTATAGAAATTTCAGACCCCTCTAGCGACTTTTTTAAGCGACTAGCGACAAATCTAGTTATTTTTCTGGTGTGTTTGATGACTTTTAGAGGATGCAGTAGAAGGCAATAATCATTCAACAGTCACTGCGAGCGAGCAGCAAGTACTGCTGTAAGCCCCGCCCCTCTCAAAGCTCTGACAGACGATCCCGCCCATAGAGTGGGGACACACTCACAAAGTAGACTCACCATCAAACTTAAGTCAGGTTATCTGGACAGATTCTTTTTGGTACAAACTAGAGATGCACGCTATTGGATTTTTGGCCGATATCCGATATGCCGATATATTAAAACGTGTTTGGCCAATAACCGATAACAATACCGATATTTTTTCCCCTAGACCTACTAACAGAGACTACATAGTCTTCTCTGCTGTGGAATTAAAATACTACATTATTCTGCATGGTCTCTGTCAGTTTGGCCTGCTACCAAATACAGATGCCAAAAAGGGGTCTGAAAATGATGTAACACTTCAACTTGGGTTATGTTTAATGTCAAATTTATTCATGATATTTACTCTCTCTAACACAATGACAACACTCGAACAGGGCAAATTTGTAAATTTTCACAAATCTAAACTCAACAGCTCGCGTGACGTCATAACGTTGTGCTGGTGCTGCAGGCATCCTTGTCATACAAAACCAGCGCCTTATATATTGGTGAGTTATTTTGATGGAATGGCCGATATGTAACTTTATGACTAATATGCCGATACCATGCCGATAATATCATGCATCCCAAGTAGAAATGTTTCATCTTTCATCTGAAAGACTTCATCAGTCTGAGGCCTGCCAACAAACTCAGTTATATTAATAGCACCTTTCAAAATGAGTCAAACCAGTCTACTGGGGATTCCCAGAAACTAGCTTTTCACATATAAAAGGATGACCATCAGTCCAACAATTGATCGTTAGTGCCCTGATGGCCGCTTGCTATTCACAGAACCAGCCTGAGGATGACGAGACGTACCAAGACCGGAGAAGAATCGAATAGAAACAAGGAGATCAGAATAGTACTCAACAATAGAGAAGCAGCTATAGTTCTTACCTTGGTGCTGTAAAAAAAGCATCACGTTACACTGTGACTGACAATGTGTTGGCCTGTTAGTGAGTTGGGACGGTGTTCAAGTGGAACTTTCCTACTGATGATACAACTCCGTGACCCTAGAACCAGACTCTGGTTCCATTAATATATGATGGCAGAACACAAACACAAAAAAAAATCAATTTGGGGCAAAAAAAAGTTCGTTAACTTTTCGCTTCATCTATGTTTATTTTTGTTGATGCAATGGACTCCCCCTCCCCTCTGCTTAAGAATTAAATGTTCACATCCAACCATACGTACTAACGCACGGAGACGTACTCTGTCCATAGCAATTGCAATCCATCGTAAAGAAATGAACGTTTGATGACATCACTACACGGGTTCTATTGTGTGAAGACAAAAAAAAGGCGAAACGTTCTAAAGTCCTTTTAAAGATTCTGGGAAAGTGTTTTCACTCAATTCTTTGAGCTGCAGAGGAGGTGTTTAGCAAACAGTCAGTGTATAAAGTCACAAACACAGTATAAACTTTTGTTTCAGTCCATAGATTAGAAGGTCCTCATGGTGTCATGACGATGATGATGGTGTTTTGGTGGACTACAAAGAGGATGAAGGTTGGTTGAGTTCATAGGACTGTGCAGGTGTCCTCCTGTCCATCATGACTTCATCCAAGCCTTTCCACGCCTCAGCTGGTTTGGGCTGCTGGAAGGGAGGACCGTGGAAAACTCCATCCACCCAATCTCTGAGGGTGGAGACCGGTGACTCCTGTCGCCTCTCGCTCTTGGTGAGAGCCATGTTTGTTGGGTATCCTGGTGAGGAGGACCTGGTAGATGACAGCATGCAAGCAGGGTATTCTGCCAGTGAGCTGGCCTCCAGAGAAGCAGCAGTGTGAGCGATGGACCAGATCTTAGGTTTGGCACTTTGAAGGTCTGGATCAATGTAGTAAGACGTGTTCTGGTGTTGGACCGGTGTCAGTTTGGGACAATCAGGGGACAGTCTTTCTTTTCCTTGCAGTGATTCTGAAAGCTGCATGGGCTGGCCGCATATGAGGTCTTGGCTTGCTTCACTGTCCTCTGGTAGGAACTGGGGTTTTAGTTCACTTTCAGAAGCATCCGACTCCAGCAGGTCGAAGTCCTCCATATCACTTTGTAGATCTGAACAATGTTGATCTACTAGAGTTCAAACGTTAAAAAAAAAAAGATGCAAATGACTTTGTGTGCGCTGATTAATTTTAAAAGACCATAAAGAAACTCAGGTGTTTCTTACCAGGAATGGATGTGTCACTTTTAGAAGGCTTTGCAGGAGCATCACTGTCGTCTTCACAGCCTCTGTCGTCAGAGCTTTTACAAGCCCGTGGTGACCACGTCACCTTGTTCTCCTTTTTCAGTCTCCGGCGTGCATTAGCAAACCACGTGGACACCTGAAAGAGACCCAAAAAAAAGTATAACAAAAACGACTGTTTAGAAATCAGAAGAAAACACAGGATAGTTATTTGGAGAAAACTCCACCTGTGTGAGGGTCATCTTGGTGATGATAGCCAGCATGATCTTCTCCCCTTTGGTTGGGTAGGGGTTCTTCTGGTGCTCCTGCAGCCACGCCTTCAGAGTGCTCGTGGTCTCCCGAGTGGCGTTTTTGCGTCGCGATGAACTATCTGAGCAGGAATACCTGAGCCAGAGGATGATAAAAATCAATTTAGAGTTAATTAACACCAATCAAAGCCTATGGAGGCAGTAAAATCATTAATAGACTTACCCATATCTGTCATAAGGATACTGTCCAAATGTGTACTCAAATGGACAGTAGGCGGGAGTCTGAGATGTCCCCATGTGCACAGATGCTGCTTCTTTGGGATTTACTGACCCCTAAAATTATTATCAGATAGTTAGTTAAATGTGTTTAAGTCAAATATAACACAAAAACAGCATTACACCTAAAAACAAACCATATTAAACCTAAAAAACAACGCCATTGCTAATTTGTGCAAATAGTATTTACAGCAATAAGCTATCGCTATACTTTATTAATCCCCCCCGGGGGGGAGGGGGGGGGGGAATTTGAGGCTTCCAGCAGCATTTGTAATTATGCAGAAAAAAAAGGAATAATCAAAATAAAGAAGCAGATTAATTTAATTTGGAAAAAAAAATGCACAAGGTGGCAAGGAGTACTACATTCACGAGTAACCTATACATATCTAAGCATACACACACGTATACATATATACTGTATATGCATATATGGGGCGGCTGTGGCTGAGTGGATAGAACAGTCGTCCTCCAATACTAGAGTTGGGGGTTCAAATCCACCAGCAGTCACATGCCACATGTTGAAGTGTCCCTGGGCAAGACTGAACCCCTCGATGCACCTGATGTGTGTCCCGTCAGTGTATGAATGTGACAAAGCTCTGATTAGTCTCATTAAAATGATTTGTTCAATTATCTTTGTATAGATCTAGTAGAGTGCTGTATGAATGGGTAAACGAGGACACAGATTATAATGTAAAGAGCTTTGAGTGTCTTGATTAAATAGAAAGGTGATGTATAAGTACAGTCCATTTACCATGTATACATACTGTTACAGCGTGAGCGTGTGTCCAGAGTGCAGCAGATTTATGGATTTATTTAAGCTAACTGGTAACCCACTTCTTCATTAGGATTTTAAATAAATAAGGTCTGCAATATGTCAAAATGTGGAGGGAAATTGCACATCGGAAACCAACGAATAACCCAAACAATTAAATTAATTCACACAAGGACACAAGAAAAACGAGAACACGTTGAGGGAATATAATTGGGTGCATGTCAGATTATTATTTTTTTTTGTTTGTTTCAGAGAAGAGATAAAAACTTTAACATTTCACAGCTTTATTTCTAAAAACGGTTCCAAACGTGAGAAGTTGTAAATAAAATCAAAATGATGTTTTGTGGCTCGCTGTTTTCCAAACACGAATAAAGACTCTTTTACTGCTGACTGTTTTTCACACCTCTGTCTCTGGAGAAGGACTACTGAGATGTTTAAAAGTACATTTTAGACACGAGAAATGTTTAAAACAGGGGTTTTACGTGAAGCTTGCTGATTATAGCTTGATTGTAAAACAGGTTTTAAAGCAGATCATCCATATGACCTTTACTTGGTTTTAATGGTTTTAGACACTTTTCTAATATGAGACTCAGATATACTGAATATCTTAAAGACATATTTCCATTTCTCTCCTGTCAGTTAAAAAAAAATCTTGGTGAACTAAAAGTAAAAAGTTGACTGACTCTGGAGTAGAGACTGGTGGAGTCACTGGTGCCGGTGTTGTAGAAGCTGTGGCTCTTCTGGTAGGGGCCACTGTAGACCCCGATGCCGCTTCCAGGAGTGAACTGGTGGCCCTGGGAGCGCAGCACCGAGTGCGACGGGGGTGCTCCAGCCAAGGAGTTAGAAGTCATTAAAAACTATATAAAAAAAGGTTAAATTAAATTGATTTCTTCATTTAAAAAAAAATTACACACTAATAAAAATCAGAAAAATCAGAGTATCCAAAAATGCGTAAATGCGCATGTTACTTATATTTAGACACCCCCCCCCGCCCAACTAAAATAGAACAAATTTAAACAAGATTTTAATTTTCACACATTTCGTAAATGCAAAGAGGTTTTCATGAACAGTACCTGTGGTGTGGAGGAGTAGGAGTATCCTAACTGGGAATAAGCCATGATGGTTCAGGTCAGGCACAAAAAGTGCCACATCCAACAGCATCCGTGCCTCACGCGACTTCTTCTCCCCACAGACACTCAGGGGCTGCTGTCCGTTCAACTTCCCACGTCTTCCCACCCCCCCTCAGCACCATCACAGGATCATCTCACAGCGCGTCCGGATCAGGGCGCGCGGACTTTTACGCACCGCGTCCTCCATGGCGACGCTGAAGAGAAACAGCCTCGGAAAGAAACTTTTGGGCTTCACTTCTGCCTCACTCGGCACCTTCTGGTGTCCCTGCTATGAAACAAGCCAAACTCGTGTGTGTGAGTGTGTGTGTGAGATCCACCGACGCGTCTTCCTGCGATAAGGTGAGTCTCTCTCTGACGTCAGCCCGTGTGTTCACGTCCCAGCTTCCTTTCAGCTTTTATGTGACGGGACAACTCTGATTCCAGCCCCCACTCCCAGTTGTCCCCTTCAGGTGCACAGAGAGCGCGATCAATTCTCCAAACAAACGCGCGCGCACACTTCCACAACAGTTTGGCCATGAGGGAGAAGAGATGTGGAGGACGGGGGGTGGGGGGGGGGGATCAGGGACGTGTGATGCGTTGACACCACATTGACATGAGATGATTGATGACTACAACCTGATATTAGCATAATCGTTTTGCCCTGTAGTTTAGATAACTTGTCACCACGGAGAAATCTCGCTGTCACCCTCCACACACATATTCATGAGTTGGGGGGAGGAGAGGGGGGGGATTATTTCAGGTCTCCTCCGAGCAAATTAATCAAACAATAACCACTTCGTGCATTCCCTTGAGTAAGCACCTTTAGCAGTTGAATGGCTTGTCATGTTTTAATAACAAACTCTTACAATGCCCTGACGAAGTGGAAACACTGATTTTTTTCTCTCCTCCACTCTGCCTTTTGCTTTCATTTAATTTTCTTCCAAGACACACCGAAGGAGAGAAACTGGGTTTAAAGGCTTTGACTTCCTGGAGGAATGCATATCGCCCCGATTCAAACTAAGATCACCTTATGTTGAGAAATGACTCACTTGGACTACGTGTTGTGAATGACTCTCATCTACTACATCCAACTTTAGCTCAGTGTCTGTCTGATTTCTTTATCCATCCATCCATCCATCCACCCATCCACCCATCCATCCATCCATCCGTCCATCCATCCATCCATCCATCCATCCATCCATCATCTTTTACCCACTTCTTCCTTTTCATGTTTTGGGGGTCACTAATGACCATGTACAGCAGTAACTGTGTGGGAGGTGGGGACACCTGGACATGTCTCCAGTCCATCAGAGGGACACAGAGACAACCATTCACTCTCTCACTCACACCTAGAGACAATTTAGAGTTACCAATTAGTCTAACATGCATGTTTCTGGTCTGTGGGAGGAAACCGGAGTACCCGGAGAAAACTCACACATGCACGGAGAGAACATGCAAACTCCACCCATTTCAGATCCATTACATGAAACTGCAATTTAACAACAACAACAAAAAAAAGTTATATTTTGTCATATATTTTAACTATGAGTCAAATGTCAGAAATGGTCAAATAATTTAAAAAGACAACTAAGACAACATCTGAGCTTATTTTTATGCTCAAATGAAGGAACGAGTCCCACGCTGTTGTTAACATTGTCCAGAAATTAAATGAATTCAAATAAATCAACGTGGTGAGGTGTTACATTTGTCAAGGTAAGAATGAAGGAATTAAACTCTTTAGCATAAAATGGTCACTGGCGTTTGTGAATGGTCTCTGGGCTCAAAGTGCCGTCAAGGGTCAAACTCAGTAAATGGTCAGCAACGAAAAAATCGTATAAAAGGAAAAAAAAATCAAGTTTATTAACTGAAGCACTGACTTCATGGGAAATATTACCTAACACACGTTTCTACTGCAACACCTCCTTCTGCTTTTTTATTTATTTATTAATTCATTTTTCATATGTTTCCTCTTCAGGGGTCGCCACAGTGAGTCATCCTCCTCCATCTCACTCTGTCCTCACTCCAACTACCTCCATGTCTCTAACTGCATCCATATATCTCCTCTTGTCTTTTTCCTGGCAGCCGCCTTTCTGACATCCTTCTACCAGTATACCCACTGTCCCTCCTCTGGACATGTCCAAACCATCTCAGTCTGGTCTCTCTAACTTTATCTCCCAGTTGTTCAACCTGTGCTGTACCTCTGATGATCTCATTCCTAATCTTATCCATCCTTGTCACTCCTAAGGAGAACCTCAACTTCATCTTCATTTCTGCCACTTCCAGTTCTGTCTCTTGTCTTTTTGTCCACGTCTCTGTCTCCAGACCAGACAACATATCCGGTCTCATCACTCTGTAAAGTTTTCCTTTGACCTTTGCCGACACCTTGTTTTTCATGTCATATTTATGTAGCCACAAGTTTTATAAAACCTAGTGTCTCTTGTAAATGTGTCCCCGAGGCTCAATGGGATGGACCTGTATAAATGAAGGTTGAATGAATCTCACAGGGCTATGACTTTTGGCAACGGCTCTGTAAACAGTATTTATGAAGAAGTTTGAGAATGTCTCAAAATGTTTGCAGAGTTTGCAGTTTTCCTCGACTGAGTCACATTCTGCTCATTTCAAGTTTGAACGTGTTTTGTTTTGTACCATCTGTGATTATAGTGCGACATTCACACACCATACCTGCAAATTGTAAATTTACGACGTACTCTGCCAGTGTTATTGTATTTCTTAAAAGCTAACTCTGTGAGCAGGAATTATGTTGGCTTTTATACGTGCACAAATTTAGACACAGTTTATCTATTTGATAAATAGTTTACTTTGAAATTTGGTTGAGAGAAGTTGTTTAATGTGACCAGATCAAGTCATTTACTATCACTGCAAGCCAGGAAATGATTTATCAAGTTGCATCAGATAAAATGGCATAACCAGACCCAACGATGCATCGTGTCACCAGGTCTCTACTCCTTACCGGGTCAATTTAAGGGCTTGAGTAAACTCATCTTTCTGAAGGTTTTGTTGGTGGATCAGACCAGGATACACCATAAGAGGACTTGCCAGGCACTGGCCAAGGTAGCTGAAAGTCACTGTGACAGCTTCAGGGGTCATGAGGATGACAGATGAGGAGAAGGTGTGTGGGCCATCGGAAGTGTCAGAAGATGACAATTGGACACAGAGGCCTCGGCCTCTGTTTAATGATGGATTATTCCATGAAAGGAGTATCAGAGAAACTGAGACTCTATTTTCTAAACACAACGTCCCAGTGGCTTTTAAACCCCAAAATACATTACGGCAAAGACTGGTTCATCCCAAAGATCCAGTCCCCCGGCACAAACAGAGTAATGTTGTGTATGCTGTTCAGTGTCAGGAGGGCTGTGATCAGATTTATTGGGGGAACTAAACAGCCACTGGCCAAAAGGATGGACCAACAGAAGATCAACATCATCAGGCCAGGACTCTGCGGTCTACACTACTGCTATCTACAGGTCAGAGGTCACTCTTTCAGGGATGAAGATGTTCACATCCTGGACAGAGAGGAACAATGGTTTGAGAGAGGAGTAAAGGAGGCCATCTTTGTGAAAAGAAACCGTCCATCATTAAACAGGGGTGGAGGCCTCCGGGTTCAACTGTCCCCCTCTTACAATGCTGTGATTGCTAGTATCACTCAGCCCTCTGTGAACAGTAAACAGCCATCAGTGTGCTAATGATCCATTGTTAGGCTGATGGTCCTTCTTGAGCATGTGAGCAGCTGGTTTTGAATGTCAATAACAAACTGTTTGATCCACTCTGAGAAGGTGCTGTTTATAAGACTGAGCAGCTCCTAAGACTGAATAAGTCCTTTGGATAAAAAACGAAACATTTCAACAATTTTAATTTTTTTTTGTCCAGCCAGAGGACCAAACTTAACTTTGTTAGGTCTAGGAACCACAAGTAAACCTGCAGTCTGAGAGCGAAGTGCTCTGTTAGGAAAAACAACAAGATATGTAATATAAGATGGAGCTAGGTTGTTGAGAGCTTTGTAGGTTAGAAGTAAGATTTTGAATTCTGAAATTGACAGAATTTGTCATTTTGTGTATGTGAATGTTTCTGTTCAGTGCCCTGAGATTACTTCTGTCATGACTTAGTGCTATATAAATAAACTGAATTGAATTGAAATGGAGGCAAATGCCACATTTTTAGTGCTTAAAGAGATACATCATACACAATTAAAGAGTTGGAAAGTTTAGTAAGAGCCTTTCTGTGCAAGACTCCAACATCAAGATGCGAACGAAGAGAAGAGGCAAAGTTGGGGAGTTGAAGAAATCGTTATTAGTCGGGGGATCTGGAATGGAGTAAAGGGATGTGGAGAGGTAAAAGGACAAAATATTCCCAGTGCACCCAGAGTAAGGCTGGAACAACAGAGCTGCATCACCAGAAAGCATCTCGGTCCCCACCGGGGAGAAAGCATCTGTGTACCGGAGCTTGATTGACATTCCATTTGTCCCATGAAAGGTGCTCATATACCGAACACGGACTAACTGTCTCCTCCTCATCTGTGCTCAAAGCTCGGAGATGAAGTCATCCCGCTGCACTGTTGTCGCACGGCTTCACACAAAACGTACGCCACTCAAAGGAAATGGCCTTGTTTAGCCGCTGACAATGAACATGACTGAGTTTAATCTTGGTTTGGTGTTGTTTCTGGACAAACGACTTGTGCCGTATGAAAGAACCGTAGATTTGTAGGATTTGATCTCGTGAAGCCTTTCTCCAATTCCTGCAGGGTTATCACACAGAACATGAAACTTAAAGCATGCTTTGCACATGGAGGTGTGTGGATAAGGCTGCTTCCCTCTTTTTGAATATTCAGTGGACTACTTATAAATTAAAATATGGTCTGTTTATAAATTAATGACATTCCTCTAGTATATATTTCTTAAGGCTTTGCGTTCGTTAGACCGTGATTATTTCTTTCTGATCTTGTTCCCCTCGCATCAATCTTTCATTCAAGATGCTCCACAAGAAAAGAAAAA